GCAAGTTCCTAATTGTCTACACCAGTGGGTTTCCACATTTTTCAAGTCCCCCCCCCCCCTTTTTTTTCCCTCCTCCTCCAGACTCCTTTAATATATAACAAGATCCCATCCCAGCCCCCCCCCCTCTCCCCCCCCTCTCCCCCCCCCCCTCTTTTTTCCCCACCCATCAACCCCATTAAAAAAAAAGTTATTCAAATGAGGAGGGCAGAAGGAAAAAATCTCAAACGCTATTAATAAGAACATAAATCAAAGAGTCAAATAATATAAAAGCAAAACAATTACAACAACTGGTTATTTGTTGTACAAATACCAGTGGTCGTTGACATTGTTTTGTCTGGATGATATCTGCTAGTTTTGGTTTGATGTCGGACAAAGCACAAGGGAGATAGATCACTCTCCAACATCGGATTTTTAGAAAATTGAACATTTCTAATTAAGCTAGAGAACAAAAATATGTTTCAATATTTTCTGATTATTGCAATTACAAATGGACTGAATTTCAAAATTACTTGACGCCTCCACGAACTTTAATTTCCTTGCGTCGTCTAGTGAAGCCCCCCCCCCCCCCCCCAACCGCTGTCTCCTCCAGGTTGAAAACCACTTGTCCGGATCTTGAGCTTTGCGTGCCCATCCATTCTACATATCTGGCTTATTTGTATACAGACTGTTGGTCAATTGCCTCTCAGGCAGATAGACTGCGACTTCGAAGGAAACCCCACAATTAATCGACTCCTCCGACATGCTTGTAAGGGAGGCAGTGGGTCAGTATATTTTCTCCCCCCCCCCCCCGCACCCCTTTTACAGTGGGGCCCTGGAATCCATACAGGGGCCTACATACTCAATGATAACTTCTGACCTGCTGCCCGAAGGCATGACACTACAGAGACCCGAGGAGCAGCATCTGAGATGTTCATATGACATGAACAATTTCAGACGCCATATTCAACTTCCTATGATAATAAATCTAGAATAACATACTGTAAATACGATTACTACTGGTGTACCTAACTGGGTGAGGTAAAGTTTATTGTAACCAAATCAGTATTCGAACCGACAATCGACTGAAAATCCAGCACATTATCATAATTACTCAGGATCAGATTATTCGGTGCTTTATTAATATCCTACCCTAGATGGCGTCACAGGACAGACCAGTATTTTCAAGGGTTGTGAGACTGGGTTTACCTAGCATTTGACCTAACCCCAACCGACCTACATTCCACGAGATAGTGCAGCCCAGGTCCCACGACTGCATGCAGCCTAGGTCCCACGACTGCATGCAGCCTAGGTCCGACGACTGCATGCAGCCTAGGTCCCACGACTGCATGCAGCCTAGGTTCCACGACTGCATGCAGCCTAGGTCCCACGACAGCATGCAGCCTAGGTCCCACGACTGCATGCAGCCAAGGTCCCACGACTGCATGCAGCCTAGGTCCTACGACTGCATGCAGCCAAGGTCCCACGACTGCATGCAGCCTAGGTCCCTCGACTGCATGCAGCCTATCTACCACCCTTTGAAATATTAGATTGTCCCGTGACCTGTAGATTTACCCCTGTTTAGGGAAGGATATTAATAAAGCACTGATTATCTATCCTGACGACCTAGGTAAAGTTTAAGAAAATGCCACACGCCTGTTCTTATGTGACAGGTGAAAACTTGACATTTTAAAATAGCTATATGTTCAGGCAGCCGTATCATCATAAAATGAGTACCAGGTCAAGTCTTGGGAAGTAAAGGCGGCCGAAGCGATGTTGATAACATCACCCACTAATGTATATGCCTAGCCCTATTTGTCCAGTACGTATGCAGGCTTGAAAACGTGTCATTTACTTTTTATAAGTAGTAATCAGGATCGCATGGCTAGTGCTTTCGCCAGACAATGTGCAAAATGTTTTCCTTTTCTACCACTTCACTACCATGTATTGGGGTAAGTAAAGTAAAGGACCATTCAGTCTGGCTCGTCCATCTTATAAGTGATAATCAATACCCAAGCATTTTTTAAAATTCTTATAATAACAAATAAGTCAGACCACGGCAACGTAAGCCAATCCTGGCAAACATCTGTAGCAATACAAGAAGTCAAGTACCCCTTAAGTGCCATCAAAATGCCGTCTGGCACAAACTCCAGAGCCCAGCAAGACTGTACCGATATCGAATCAGGCTTGTGTCGGCAATTTGGCTCTGGCTCACGCTTGGAGAAAGTCCGGCCAAATTCATTCGCTGATGAATTTCCAATTTTCATCATTTTGGCACCAGTAGGTCTTCGATTATGCGAACCCATTACTGAACTTGGCGGCCTGATATGAAATAAAATGCAGTTTGTTGTCGTGTAACATATTATTGTTAGGAGCCATAATATGTAGACACAGTCTTCGGTGAATCTAAAACTCTGTATTAATGTCTAAAGCAGCCAAATTTGAAAAAGTAAAGCCTCTACTGGCACAGAACAAGAGAGCCAACAACTGTCATAGGTTTCTTCGTCTTCTTCTTCGCGTTCACCGGCTGTAAACTCTGGAGAAAAGTTCTGGCTGTTCCTTCACTTCTGGATTGCAGTCTTGTTCCAGAACCTGAGTGTTGCGCGTGCATCCGTTTTACAGATCTGACTCATTTGTATGCAGACTGCTGGTTCTTTGCCTCTCAGGCAGATGCTCTCCGACTTTGAAGAAAGTTTCAAGTCGACTGTAAAGACATGCTTTTAGTGTGGGGTCTATTCTTGTTTTCAGAGTAACAGGGCCCCGGAACCCACACGGGGGCACAGGCAGTCTAATTTGAATTGTTTTGAGTTGCGTGGGGTATCTTGGATTTGTTTAGTGAGATTTCTGTGAAACGACTGAAAGATTTAAGTTTATAGAGGCAGTTTTCCTGAGTCTATTCACACCCTTGGCCCATCAAAACTGGGGAAATTTGTTTCTCAGCCCACCTGGCAGCTAATAAAACGCGAAAAAAAATGGACGCCTAGGACGCCACAGTCGCTTTGCTTAAATTATTGAGCCTCTACGTTAGTTAATGTCAATTTTTCACAATTCATAATTCAGATGACTTTAAAGAGCTTCTACATCGACACGGAATGTCAGTAGCCATTATTGATTGTTGCCCATCAAGCAATGGATCGCAAACTGTTTCTCCCCACAACGCTTAACGGCAGAAGTGGAAACTGATGATGATGATGATAATGATGACTCACATCCCAGACAGAACTATAGGTTACGTAACCTTCGGGTGCCATAATAAATAATCACAGACATATGGTTATTCAGGATTTGTACCTGTTTGATCCTCATCCTTCAGTGTTAAATCCTAGAAACTGCAATCCTTGAAGAGAAAAACTACCTGCCTTACGCTATTACATGATTATGCAGAAATGTTGGCGGCCTACTCGTATTGTTCCACGGCCCATCGGTGGGCCGTACTTAGCCGACTGAAGAACACTGGAATGTATCAATAAAATTTATTTCGCAAGCGACCAACTCCTACCGATGCTTGAAACGGCTGTATCTGCGTCTAGAAACGGGGAAAAAAAACTTTAGAACACTAGTCACTAGGCTTCAATACTTTTCACAGTTACGTTAAATGTGTTCCTTGTTCAAGCTGTCTCTGGTGATTTAAATGGATTTCTCTATTTGTTTGTTTATCATTATCATCGTCCCATATCACTGCTTGATATTGGGTCATCAGTTGCTGTTAACCGATCAGCACCCTCCACACATTGTTCATCTTCTTCATCTTCAGCATTCCGAGTCCTTCAGGTTCATTGCTGTAGATATCACCCGCCTCCAGTCATCTCTCTGGTTGGTCTACTTCAGCATTCCGAGTCCTTGAGGTTCATTGCTGTAGATATCACCCGCCTCCAGTCATCTCTCTGGTTGGTCTACTTCAGCATTCCGAGTCCTTGAGGTTCATTGCTGTAGATATCACCCGCCTCCAGTCATCTCTCTGGTTGGTCTACTTCAGCATTCCGAGTCCTTGAGGTTCATTGCTGTAGATATCACCCGCCTCCAGTCATCTCTCTGGTTGGTCTACTTCAGCATTCCGAGTCCTTGAGGTTCATTGCTGTAGATATCACCCGCCTCCAGTCATCTCTCTGGTTGGTCTACTTCAGCATTCCGAGTCCTTGAGGTTCATTGCTGTAGATATCACCCGCCTCCAGTCATCTCTCTGGTTGGTCTACTTCAGCATTCCGAGTCCTTTGAGGTTCATTGCTGTAGATATCACCCGCCTCCAGTCATCTCTCTGGTTGGTCTACTTCAGCATTCCGAGTCCTTGAGGTTCATTGCTGTAGATATCACCCGCCTCCAGTCATCTCTCTGGTTGTCTACTTCAGCATTCCGAGTCCTTGAGGTTCATTGCTGTAGATATCACCCGCCTCCAGTCATCTCTCTGGTTGGTCTACTTCAGCATTCCGAGTCCTTGAGGTTCATTGCTGTAGATATCACCCGCCTCCAGTCATCTCTCTGGTTGGTCTACTTCAGCATTCCGAGTCTTTGAGGTTCATTGCTGTAGATATCACCCGCCTCCAGTCATCTCTCTGGCTGGACTTCTTTTTTCAGTTGATAAAACACCAAGTGTTTGCAGACCTGTCTGGATATTATCTCTCCATCGTCTTATTGGTCTCCCTCGTGGTCTACGACCATTTCATCTCCCTGGTGTATGCAGTTGTTACTTCTCTGTCATCTGACATTCTTTAAATATGCCCCAACCATTTCAGTCTATTAGCTCTTATGATGCCAGTGATCAGTGGGGGTTTAAACAGATTATGAATTTCCTTGTTGCTTCTCACTCTCCATTCACCGTTGTTTGCATCTTTGATGGGTCCAAACATTCGTCGAAAGACTCTGTAAGAAACATTGTTCATACTAATGGAAAATATTATCGGACTCGGTATGTGCTCTTTATCTCTTTCATTGGATTGGACAATGTTATGGTTGTGTGATTTCAGAGTATGAAAGTTATATAACTGTGATATTTTATATTTTATTGCAGATATAGGATCTAGCGTCAGACAAGCAAACATGGGCGTCGTTACTGTTAATGATATTGACTACGGCCAGATTTTTGGGCCGTTCCCGACTCACTTCACAGTGACTGACCCGGCCTATATCATTGGTATGCTGACCAACGACAAGCAGCCGGATGGAATTGTCGTGAGGGTAAATATTCACAGACACCGTTTTCTTATAGGATGTCACACACATACACACACGCTCTCTCACACACAAGTACATACGCGCGCTCTCTATATCGCTCTCATCAAATCTCTCTGTCTGTTTTTTATCTGTCGCTCTTCTCTCTCTCCTCCTCCTCTCTCTCTCTCTCTCTCTCTCTCTCTCTCTCTCTCACGTTCTTTCTTTCTTTCTTTTCTCTGTAACTTCTCTTTATATTTCTCGCTCCCCCTCCCTCTCTCTCTCTCTCTTATACACACTGTCTTACTCTTTCTCTTGCTTTATCACTGCAACACACACACACACATTCACTCCTTCTCTCTCTGTTTATCCCTCACAAGCGTGCGCTCTTTCTCTCGATTTCTCTCTGCAACTCTCTCTTAAACACCTAGCGTCGCCTCTTTCACCGCTCGAGGCCACTGTTTTGCTCTTTCTTCCTTTCTTCCTACTCCTCTCTACCCCTCTCTCTTTCGTTCTCTCTCTCTCTCTCTCTGTGTGTGTGTGGGGGGGGGGTGTAAGTAAATGTGCGTGCATATGTATCGTAATTGTACTGTTATACCTTTTATCCCCCATTAGAATCTAAGCCTTTAAACAGCTCATACTGTGTATTTCGGCCACTAACTAACACACAGACCCACCCTTCAAATCTCCATATTACTCTGACTCTAATTTTCTTCCCCATATGCTTGTAATCCTCGCTCTATTTGTTTTGTTTTTTCCCTATCATGTTTTAGGGAGTATATTTTTTAACTACAGTAAACGTCAAGTAAAGGACCCTCTTCACACCTTCAGGTGTACTGGGCATATAGGGCTAGACTTATATTTTTCAATAACCAATCGATACTCGATGAGGGATGTAATAAACATCAGCCCAGTCGCCTTTACTTTCCAGGTCTCTACCTGGTACCTATTTCAAGCCTGGGTAGTCCAGGGACCCAAAGTCATTTTTGAGAAAAAAAAGTCCGGCATTTTCTTATTATACTACAGTAATCTCGTTAACACGAATTACAAACGACCTATAAATGTTTGTGTTAAACAAAACAAAAAAACGGTGCTAACCGGAGACTCATACATCGCTGCTGGGCCCACAGTTTTGTTCATCTTAAGCGAGTTCGTGCTAAGGTGATTTTACTGCATTAAGACATTTTTTCTTCACTTTTTGTGTTCAGTAAAGCGCCACTGTCTTTTTCCTTATCCCTAGATTCCTTCCAATGTGCTTAGCTCTCTTTCGTTTACTTTAACCACTAGCATCCTTATCAAGTGCCTTGCCGACTGGCATAGGCGATCATTCCTCTCCACAACCTGCGGTCTCCAACAGCATGCAGCAGCTCATGTGTTGACACCCCTCCATGCCATGACAAAAGGTTGTAATGAATCTTTGACTTGTCTTCCTCTGCCTCTTTTTTCCGTTATCTTATCTTACTTTCCCGTGTACTTTACAAGATCGGTCATAACTCTGCTATTGCAATTGAATTCATATTTAGGCCATTAAATCGAACACTCTTTTTTGCCGTATGTTCACCGGCTGTAAAATGCTGGCTGTTCGTCCTCTTCTTGACTTGAGCCTTATCTCAGAACTTGAGTTTTGCATGCTGTTTTACGGATCTAGATTATCTGTATGTAGACTAATGGCTCCTTGCCTCTCAGGTAGATGCACTCTGAAGAAAACACCCATATATAATTAGTCCAATTTTACGACATGTTTATTCATTAGAAGGAAGTGGATCTGTCCCCCACCCCCAACACCCCATCCCGACTATTTACTCTCCCAGTCACAATGGGACCCTGGAACCCACTCGGCGAGATCGAATATCCAATCCTTACACTTAATTTACACGCACATGTTTTTTACAGATTATTCACTCTACCTGTTGTGTACCCACAGGTAGACGCAGAAGAACGCAGTGATGGAATTCGGGTGGTGGACTGGCTACCCTACGTGTCCCCCGCTAGAGATGAGGAGGAACAGAACATGGAAGCTTACCTGAAGGAAGGGGGAATCTATTACAGGACCCTTCGTATTGTCAAGGCAGGGGAAGAACTGCTAGTCTGGTACAGCAAAGATTTCACCAAAATACTCGGTATACCTGAACTACAAACGAACTCTAAAAGAGGTGAGGTTTGAAGTCGTTTTCAGCTTGTACAAATAATGTATAAAAAAAACATAAGTGTCATATAGGGGACACAACCAAGGTAATTTTTGTAGTTTATTAGTAATTGTGTTAGGGGGATGCATTGTCTCGACGCACAGTGTCTGCCTAAAGTGCTAGAGGTTCCGGGCTCAATCCCCGGTAAAATCTGGGATTTTTTTTCACCTGGTCTCTGGGTAGCGAGATCGGACGCCCGTGTGCATTGTTGCGCAGTAAAAAAAATCCCTTGGCAGTTGGAAATTGAAAAGAGTAGCCTTACGGCGATGCCTGAGCAAAATTTTGAGTTAAAAGTCTTCCCAAAGTATTTCAGAATCCTCGCCAGTGCTACAAAGCCTGTGCCCTGTGCTGAGCTTCTTCGGACTCAGACTTGAGTTAGAAGAAGAACCCAGCACTTATGGGTTATACCTGTGTGCCATGATGTTGATCCGCTTGACATTACATTTTTTGAAAGATTGAACTGGGGACATGTGGTTTCGTCGTTGTGGCGTGCCATACATAACGAGATTTTTGTAATCTCGGGGTTGTCAATCCTTCAGGAAGAGGAAATATTGAACAATTGGAGGACATTATTTTTGTAAGCAAATTTTTGTTAAGTGGCTTATTTATTTACCTTTTTTTTTCAGTCAAAACATCCAGATTACAAACTTTTGAAGTAAACGCCCACACACAAAAAAATCAAGATCTTGATTCTGTGTCAAATGCATTCACACACATGTTCCATCAACATATTAATGTATTTAAAACAATGTTTTCCCCTCGTAAATTTGACGAGAAATAGCGAAATATGCCAGACAATTAATTGTACGCTGTATTTTCTGTTGCATATTGTTTAAAATCATTTGTATGCTGTTCAAGACTCGTACAGAATCAATTAGACCCACCCATACGGTTATACAGGCTACTTTGTAACCGTTTCGTGGTGTCCCAATATAACTGCTTTATGGCTGAACGGCGGTTTCCAGGTTGTGAACCGGTTTGATTCTTATCTTTTAGATGTTCATCTCACAGACTGTAATACTGGCGAGACCAAAAAAAAATATAATTTTCAGACTGTCAGTCCACGAGTCACTAGCTGTGTGTGTTGATAAAAGTGACACACTTACACACACACACACAAATTAAGAGAAAGATTATTATAAACTTAATCTGTCCAGTACCGGTCAATTCATTACGAGTTGAATGGATACCCAAAACATATTATAACTTTCTTACCATATGCGTGCTTAGAAGGGCCGAATGTCAGACGGGCCTGCGTGCCAAATTTGTAACCCTTTAAAAAATATTTGTTCATTCGTTTGGTCTAAGCCAGTTGTTAAATCAATCCTTTCAAATTGTCATTCCGAATTTACAACATCTTTATAACTCTGTCAGCCTCAAAAGGGAATGACTTTAGTAAAAGTAGTGTTCTCTCTCTCTCTCTTTCTTGTTGTACCCCACCAGGACATCCCACAAGCGATAGACACCCGGTGACACAAAGTGCCACCATGCGGATGGGGATCACCCGTAAAAAGGTCCCAGAAACCCCTTTCAGCCGTTTAGCCATATTTAATGCCTTGCTATTTTCAGGGCCCCCGGCAAAAGAGAGGGTGGGGCTTCAAGTAACGAAAATTTGTATCCCACATGGGGACACCTATATTGTGAAGTAGCATTTGTTTACAACAGTAAAGGTTGCAATAACAGGGGAGGGGGAAGGACTAACGTTTCTATTACCCCCCAAAAAAAGGAAACTATATGTAACTCTCTGCGACGCTTTGAGACACAAGCTGTCGGACAAAAGAAGAATAATACAAGGAAATTAAGAGAACATATCTGAACCAGTAATTCTCCATAACTACTCGTTATTAATGCATTAAAAACTTACTGCCTACCCAACAAGCATGTCGTAATAGTCGACTAATTGGGTTTTCCTTCGAAGTCGTAGTGCATCTCACTGAGAGGCAATGAACAACAGTCTGCATACAGATAAGTCGGATTTGTAAAGCGGATGTGCACGCAACACTCAGATTCTGGAACGAGTCTGAAGTCTGGTGGTCTTAATCTTCTTCTCAGTTTTTTTTTTTTTTTCACTTCTGGAATGCCTCGCATCATCAGGCCAGCAAACGATATCTGGAACGGGCTCAGCTGTTCGCTTAGTGTATAGTACTTTTCAAGATGTTTGGTATTTCAGCGGTCCATGTTGTACAAGGTCGACCTCTAGATCTGCCAATGCTGTACCCGCAAAACATTTCTCTCTGTGGTGCTCTATCTGTTGCCAATCTTGTTCCATGGCCAAACCATTTGATCCGATAAAGTTCAATGTGGTTTCTGAGCCGAATCTCCTCCTGATTCCTGATATCATTGTTTCTAAGTCGATCTTTCTACCCAGCACAATACGTAAACATTCTTCAGTATTTAAAGTATAGAAACATGTTAACACAATCCGAGGTATTATCGCGATTAGCATTCGCCCTACCGTGTCTGGACTTCATATTGCTTTGTAACCTTCAGGGTTCCTATTATAACTTCACGGTTGAATGGGGTTTCAGGGATTTGTACCTGGGAGAATCTCATCCGAATAGTGACATTTTGTTTCACGGGTGTAAATCGTCCAGTGTGCGGCCATGATGGGGTTCAACTCGGGTCACTAACCCTTTTTTTATTACCAGAAAAATATTATTTAATTCCTGATCACTAATCAGTTCTAGCGTGATCCTTTCGTTATGCAACCGGAATAAAATTCACACCGTAGCATAAGTCACTTTATCCTACTTCCCAAACAATTCACACAGGGTAGAATTCTCAGTTTAGGGAAAACCCCTGCTCAAGTATTTTCTATCATCTCACACTTCTTAAACTGAGCTGCCTGTATCGCCAGTCACCTTCCAACTGATAACCTTTCAACTGATAACCTTTCAACCTGTCTGGACGGTGAGCGATCTTTATCTGTTTAGATGGACGAACAACAAAATCACCTAAAGTATATAATATTCGTGTACTTTCTATCACTTCTCACACCGATGATCCTTCATGCCATGATAGAGTATATAATGGATGTCGTGACCACAAGTCACTTTTACTGTATCTGCTAATTGGATGCCTGTGTGTAAAGTTGAAGTAGTTCTGCATGATATTCGCGGTACTAACTTGCTCCTCCCACTCCATCCTAAGTCAGGTGAACTTATGGGAAGGGATCAGGTTTTAAATTAGCAGTTGACTTTATTATGGACAGTGCGGAATGTTTTTTCCCTCCAAAAATTACCTTGGCTCCCAGGTCAACCCCTCTTAAACAAGTGCCAGTAAAATCATGGGAAGTAAAGACGACCGGCGAGATGTCAACTCATTACTGCTGCTTGGTCTACAAAATGTAGGTCTTGTTCTAAATGCCTGGAGGCGTTGGAAAAGTCTATTCACTTTACAGTTCAGCCATAACCAAACAGCCCACAGACCACCTGCCAGTTGTGTTGTATAAGGCTTCGGCCTCTGACCCGTGACATTCCCATTTTCAAACATTTTGGTCCCTGCGTAAATTTAGTTGAGCTTGCCGTTACGGGTGCGCTCATTAAATTTGTTTAGAGGTTGTACGGGGTATAATGGATTCGCCTTGTTGGTCTGCTACGACTCTTGCTGTCTCATGGGCAATCAAACCTTCAGGAAGGCATTAACAGATAGACTGTTACATCGCAGACCTTATAAGGACAACTGGCTGGGGACCAAGAAACTGTTCTTCTTATCAGAAACTCTTATCAAGATAAGAACTTAAGCAAGAAAAATTGCCTGGGATAAATAAATTGTTCTTTACAACAGAAATTCTTAATATCCGAGATCGCCTTAAGCGGTCTGAACGGTATGTAAATTTGCTAATTCTGAAGCAAACTGACATGTGAATTCATTTTTTTATATACTCTTTCAGACGATGAGCAGTTCATCTGCAGTCACTGCGGCGAGATGTTCGATTTTCCCTATCCTCTGAGGGCCCATCTGAAATTCAAATGTTCCTTCACCACCGACGACACAACCCGAGATCGCATCTCAGCCCAAGTTAGACTCAACGGCGACCACCACCACCACCACCGACGCCATGACATCGGCCGACACCGCAAACATATAGATGGCTTGCAGGACAAGTCCCAATACATGCTAAATTACATGACAAACAATAACTCGATGTTCACAATTTCTGCAAAACGACCTTTAGAGGAAAATAAAGACAGTAAAACACAGTGTAAAAAATTTATTTCCGACGCAGGTAAACCTAAAAGGGACTCGGTAATCACCCATTCAATCGAAGAACTAAGTAAAAGCCATCAGGGGAAGAGTCGTAGCAGTTATGCTCATGAAAACGGGCTAGAATCACATTCAGATAGTGGAAGTGCGTTTAGAAAAGTCGAGAAACCTTTGAATTTGAGCCCTGATCATAGAGTGTCGCCACCAACATCTTCACCGTGTTTTGTATCTATGCCAGTAACAATGTCCCCGCCCGACAGAAACGGGTCTTGTCAGTCAGCCGCAGTCTTAGCTTTATCAGCAAAGCTGCCAGTGAGTCAAGGAATGCACACCCTCAAGGTTCATCGGACTCTTCATTCATCGCCTATAAGCCAGCCCTCAACGTCTTCTATGCCTCCACCAATTCGATCACCAATAAAGTCACTACCATCAGCGGTCCCGGTAACTTCAATTCCTCATCACAACCCCGCCATGGCTGGATCGCAAATAATGAGTCTGTATATGCCTAGAATTCCAATGATCCCTTCACCCTCACCACTTGGCTTACCAGGAGGGAGTCTTCTCACATCGGGAACATCAAGAATCCCCATCCCACATTCTGCTTTCCACGACCAAATTCCCCAAGGACTGTTAGAGATGTGTAGAGCTGCAATCCCAACAGTTGGACCATTAACGGAATCTTTTGCAGCGAACATCAGAAACAGCGAGACGCTGGCCAAGCAAGCGCTGTTTGCTGACAGGCACATATCTACCTTGGGCTTCCTCAAGAGCACTAACCCTATGGTGGAGAAGCTTCTCCAATGTACCAATCCAACATTGCTCTCATCGCCCATCAATGCCCTCAACTTGTCCCAGAACTGGTGCGCTAAATGTAACGCAACATTCAGAATGACCTCCGATCTTGTCTACCATATGAGGTGAGCAAATTAGTTAAACCGCCTTTGTGTCTGTCTATTTATCTTTATGTGTGCTTTTCTATCCTATTGATCATCAAGAGAGCTTTTGCAGACAACCAGGGATCGTGATCTGTGGAGATGCATGATCACCTACGCCAGTTGGCAGGGCACATTTTGATGATTTTCTATCCTTCTGTGTGATTCCATACTTAATATAGGAAACGGGTACACTGATATCATATTATGCCACTGTGATGTGAAGTTCTAGGCCTATTAATTCCAGACTGCGTTGTATGAAGTGAGGTGACTAATTCTCTTCATCATTGTGCTTGTTATGTCCTTATGTGCCACATGGGGCTCGCAGTCCCTTCCTCAGTTCCGTTTTATCCGGTGCAACTCCTTCGCCACCTCTTTTCAACATTCGTTTTATGTTTATTTTTGACTTCCTCAGTCCTTTTATTTCCTATTTTAGTGCCTGTTTGGTGATTCTCTGCTCGATTCTCCTCAGGATGTGTCTAAAATAGCGTCCATCTTCTTTGTCATGTAACTGTTGTTACCAGGAGTTTGTACAGAGGTGTCTTTTATTTCTCTACCCCTCTTAAACTCGTCTCAGTGCATTTGTGTGTTAGCAGAAGGTCAGATAATGACTGTTTATATAGAAACATGTTTCCTTCGTTATAAATAATTTCTTCTTGTAAATGAATGTTTCTTATGTATAATGATTGTTTGAACCCTATTCAGTCGTATAGCCATTTCGGAAATTTATATTGGGGCACCAAAAATTGTTGCAACGAACCTGTCGTCCAGTGAGTATGGCTGACTGACTGTCGTCCAATCCCACCAGGACATCACACAAGCGATAAACACCCGATGACACAATGTGTCACCATGTGGGTGAGGATCACCGTGGAGAGGTCCCAGAAACCGCGTTCAGCCTTTAGGCCATATTTATGGCCATGCTGTATTGCGGCCCCTGACAAGAGCCAGAGTAGGGCTTCACATAACGAAAAATTTTACCCTAAAAAGACGAGAAGATACTTGTTGTACTGACTGACTTTCGTCCAACTCCACTAGAACATCACACAGAGCCATAAACACCCGGTGACACAAAGTACCACCATGTTGATGAGTTGAGGTCCCAGAAACCCCGTTCAACCGTTAGGTTATATTAGGGCCCCCGACTACAGCCGAGGTCAGGCTTTAAAATAACGAAAAATTGCGTCCCATCTTGAGACGACAGAAATATACAAAATGTATGAGTGTGTGTGAGAGACTGACTGACTTTCTACCCCACCAGGACATCACACAAGCGACAAACACCCGATGACACAAAGTGCCACCATGTGGATGAGGATCGCCGTGGAGAGGTCCCAGAAGCCGCGTTCAGACAATTGGCCATACGTATGGCCTGCCTATATTGCGGCCCCTGGCAAAAGCCAGTGTGGGGCTTCAAATAACAAAACATTTCGTCCTGAAAAGGACGAAACTGAATATAATGTATATATTGTGAGAGACGGGTGGTAGGTCAAGACTGACTGACTTTCTACCCCACCAGGACATCACACAAGCGACAAACACCCGATGACACAAAGTGCCACCATGCGGATGAGGATCGCCGTGGAGAGGTCCCAGAAACTGCGTTCAGACAAATGGCCATTTTGATGGCCTGCCTATATTGCGGCCCCTGGCAAAAGCCAGAGTGGGGCTTCAAATAACAAAAAAAAAATTACATCCTAAGAAGGACATAAGGAATTGGTAGGTGAAGATGTGTAGTATAGTAATTCATTCTTGTATACTGATGTTGAAAGATGTGTCTCCAGTGACGAATGTTGTTTCCGTCTTTTCAGATCGCATCATAAACGAGAATTCGACCCGCTGAAGCGCAGACGGGAAGAGAAACTCAAATGCAACATATGTAACGAGACTTTCAGAGAAAGACATCACCTAACCAGACACATGTCTTCTCACGCTTGATACAATACGGGTTTATTATCTCCCTTGTTATGTGTTACCTCCCATCATTTACTCTAAAACTTGGTACGTGTGACGATAGCTTAGACTGTAGGTTAGTGCTTTCATAAGTTATTGGTGTGAAGTGCCAACTGTAAAAACTGAAGCGATGTACAAATTGAAGTGGAAGTGCAAAAATACAGTCTGTTAAATATTAGGAAGTAGGTATGTGTATGTGTGAGTGTATTGGATACTTTGGGGGTGAGACCCATGATTTGGGATCATATTACAAGTTTTAGAAAGGATTCACCTGGGAAGGACCAAGGCTGGGTAGCTTCGGAAAGACGTCGGAAAATGTAGTTTGGCATATGATCTGGGGCAAAGCAGCTCGGATCGACGATAGGAAAGGATTTCCTGGATACCAGAGGATAAGGTAGCTAGGGATGTCATGTGATGAGATAGTCTGGTACCGTTTAGGACGGCATGGATTTCACAGCATGAAATAGCTAGGGATTCATATGATGAGATAGCCTGGTGCCGTATAGAATTACACAATTACTACAGGATGAGGTAGCTATGGATGTCATGTGATGAGATAGCCTGGTACCGTACAGGATGACATGGATACCACAGGATGAGGTCCAAACAGCCAGGGTCGGGCTTTAAAATAACAACAAAACTTCGGAAGAGGTAGTTTGGCATATGATCTGGAGCAAAGCAGAACAGGTTGACGATAGGACAGAAGTGCCTGGATACCACAGGATGAGGTAGCTTGTGATGTCATATGATGAGATAGTCTGGTACCGTATTGGATGACATGGATACCAGAGGATGAGATAGCTAGGGATGACATAGGTTGAGATAGCCTGGTATCGTATAGGATGGCATGGATATCACAGGGTGAGGCAGCAGGAATATCATGGATAGAATTCACCCGAATACCTTTGCCTTCTTTTCTTGGACACACCCGTTTTATAAACCCATTGTTAGGGCATATTAGGAACACCACATTCAGGCACTAGATATTTTATCTTGCTCATATCATCGAGACTGCAAGTAATTGAATCTAACCTCTGAGGTAAAGCTAGGAGTGTGTTGAGTTTTGGAAGATCCGTGTCTATCTATTTATCTGTTACACTTTACACACCTAAGCTTTGAACTCATTAGGGACACTGATGCGATTTTTCATTAGCATTGTCCTGTGGTACCATTATGTCACATAGGGCTCGCAGGCTATTCCTTTATTCCACTTTATCCTGTGCAATCAATTTAATATTATAGAAGCAATCCAATCCAGCACCTTTGGCCTCTCTCATCAAAGTTTCGGGTTTCTTTTCGGCCCCCTAAACCCCCCCCCCCCTTCCATGTTAGCACCTGCCTGGTGATTCTCTGCGCATTTCTTATCAAGATGTGTCTGATATAACGCCATCTTCTTGGTCTTTTAACTGTTGTTACCAGTGGCTGAGTGGTTGCCCAGACATTGCTCGTATTGATTCACCCTGTAAATGTATTTTTTTTTAATGAATCTTAGATTCACAAAAATATAAAGGTATTGTTTTCTTCCTCGGCACTTTCTCTTCCCAGACAATTCGGTACAGTGTGTATATTTTTTTAAACTGGCAGACCCCCCCCCCCCCCCCCCCGATCATACTTGCATAGGAACCCTGCCTAAAATCAGAACTGAACCACTTTCACTCTCTTGGCAGAAAAGCACACAATCACTATCCTGATTCACAAACATCTACTTACTGTATATGATGTAAAGAAAATTGTCATAACAGGTACCTCAAATTCTGCTGAGGTAGCTCCTAAGGCAACTTTTGTTTGCCATACTCATGACAAGACTGTACATACTGTAAATATGTTAAGTAAGTAGAAATGTTATAGTTAATTTCTGAATAGAACAGTACCAGACAATGCTGTGCATGTTCAAAACTGAAACATGTATGCAGCCTAGCCTGCAGTTACAACCTGAATGAAGACAAAGCTGTATGATACATAGGGAGGTATGGACAGCAGGATAGCTTTCACCAAAGCTACTGGTCTCACTTTATGAATGTATGTGACATTTTAGTATGTCTTTAGCTGTCCAATCTAATAAGAACCCCAGGATGTTTCCAAGTACTTTCTTCTTCTGCACTGTCCTTTAGATGGGCGATAAGCATGTTGTGATTTGGTTTACACCTAAGCAGCGATACTGACACCTTTCAGTTCAGCATTCTTAATTAGTCACCTCTATGATATACCCAAGGGGCTCCAGAAGCAACACAGTGATCCAAATACCACCACCCTTTTCTGACTCCAGAGGTCTTGCAATTCTTCAGTATTCAGTTCCACCAGAACTTATGTCCACATTTTTATATACTACTTTGACTGCATACTTTGAATTTGCACAGGATGTCAATTAATCAGAATCAGAACACCTAATGAAAGTCAATGTTATCAATATGGTGCCATTATAGAAACTTTAGGATGTAGGTGTATGGATAGTAGCAGACGGGGAATTTAACTAAATTTTATAGACTAGTCTATTGGTGGGTGCTGTGGTTAACTTCATGCTAGCCGACTTTACTTCCTAGGATTTTACCAAATACCCACTCAAAGCTGGGATTGTCATGGAAGCCAGGTCGAATTTTTTTTTTTTAAGTCTGGTTCTATTGAGACTCGATCCTATGCTCTTAGGATCTGCATAATTCAATATAGCAACTGTAAAACAACCATATGTCTTAGGTATTGATATTTATAACAATTGGATTTCAAGAAGACTTCTGGCTGAAAACAATAATGCTATTTATAACATTGTTACTGACATGTGCAATCTCCGTTATAAATAAAATAATATTATTAATAAAATATGAAGTTTTGTCGATTGTTTCTTGTTCACACTGTGACTGTTGTACCCTGTGCAGCCTAATTCAACGATTATAGCATTAAATGTAAACCACATACAGAGAAATGGCCCATCAAACAGTTAGAATGCCGGGGCTCCCATGTAGGACACTTGAGTTCAAATCCTCGGTGAGGTGATGGGAATTGTTTCTGTCGAAAACACAGATAAAAACATACACAGCTGGTGGCTACTGTATTAATCATATGGCTCTAAATCTTCAAGTTGAAGAACCCTCTACATACACTGCTCTAAACAGGGGTTTTCTTCTTCATGTTTACTGGCTGTAAACTAAGGTGGCAATTTCTGGGTATTTGTCCACCTCTGGAATTTAGTTTTGTTCCATAACATGAGTGTTATGTGCACATCTGTTTGAAGATTTTTGGTTCCTTGCCTCTGAGGCAGATGCACCCCCAACTTCTGAGGAAGCCACCAGTTAGTCGACTCTTATTACATGCTTGTTGGGGGGGGGGGGGCAGTTTGTCTATTTGTGTTTCTCCCACCATGGGGCCCGGGAACCCATAGGGGGTTAAACTGTGGTTAATACAAACAGATATTGTGAAGTTGCGTGAAACAGGGATATTTCATTCTGGCATACTTTCAGAAGTGTTCCTTTGGCATACTGAAAATGTCAACTGACATTACTGTTTGGTTCTGTAGTGTAGGTCCTGAAAATTCATTAGTGACAATCAGACCTAGGGGGCTGTGGCATATTGTTAACAAAGCGATGCAGTGCAGTGTACCTGTAAAAAAATGTATGTTCATAGCAGCTGACCGTTTATGTGAAAATCACATGCAATTTTCTTCTTTGCGTTCACCGGCTGTAAACTGCGGCTGAAAGTCCTGGTTGTTTGCCAACCTCAGGACTGTAGACTTTTCCAGAACTCCAGTTTCGCATACACATTCAATGATCTAGCCTATTAACGTGCAGACTGTTGGTTCCTCGCCTCTCAGGCAGATGCACTCTGACTTCATAGGAAGTGCACCCTAATTATGACATGCTTGTTCTATTCTTTTCTTTCCCCAAAGGGAACACGCAATCAGTTTTTACTGAAAAGAAGACTGCAAAATTATTCAATTGGTGTTACGGGGTCTGAGGCTCAAGCATTTCGAATGCAGCCTGTAATTCTGAGATATCTGATTCTTTTTCTTCTTCATATGCACAAGTCCATAAAACAACCTAAAAAATTACAAACAGCCAAATTAATCTTCAGTTGGTTCTGCAATATCGTGTATAGCAGGGCTATTCAATTGACATTATGTGGGTCACATCTGGCCCATGAAGGCCTATTAAGTGCTGCCCGTGGATCAACTGCCAATTGCATTGTATTAATGATTTTTCTTTCCTGAGACTCAGATCTCTGGCCCGCAGTGAACTCCATTTTCCAACATTTTGGGCCCCGAGTAAACTTAGCTGATTAGGCTTACTGTAAAGGGGGTAAAAAAAACTTTTTTTTAAATCACATGAGGAGGTTGTGATAGCATAGGGAAATGCTTTACAGAAATAAGGTGGGGTACACAATTATTGTTTGGCCACAGCACTTAGCTGTGATACTTGCTTTGTCCCAAACAGTATATATTGGAATTTTTGGGGGAAGACAAGGAATTTGTCATCTCATCTCATGATATGATTTAGCTGGATGATTATTTTTTCATTTCCACATCTGATATTTATATTTGTTTTCTTCCACAATCGCATACTCAGGATAACAACATACTGTCTCATTCCTGCATTTCCTGTGTCATAGGAGTTGACTAATTGAGGGCATCCTTTGGAGTCAAAGTGCATCTGCCTGAGAAGCAAGGAACCAAAGTCTGCATACGAATAAACCAAATCTGTAAAACAGATGCGCATGCAATACTCAGGATATGCAACAAGATTGAAGTCCAGAGGTGGACGAACACCCAGAACTTTTTGCGGGAAGAAAAAAAAATAGCAACAATAACAAAATATTTTTTTTTAAACTTGCTTTATTATCTATGTTTGCCAATTTTGCAGTGTATGATAGAGAGGCAATGAGCCTGGAGATTAGAGGCTGCATGGCTAGCACAATCTGTGTATGTTTTTATTTTGTCGCAACAGACAAAAATCTCAATCTATTAGTTGAGATCAAACCTGGGTCTCTTGCAAAAAAAGCCAGCGCTTTAACCCTACTGCCAACCATCCTCAACTAACATAACAAGTTATAGAAATTAAGAAATTGCAATGGATAAATTTCAATAATTTTAATAACTTTAAAATTAAAAAAATTTTATATACTAGCTGCAACAATGTAAAACACAAGTTCAACAATGAAGGTATTATCTGCTAGTACTATCCTTGCTTGCTACATACATCCAGTTTTAACATATGGCTGTGAGTCCTGGACAATCGGTAGGCAGGCCAAACAATTTTTAGAAGCCTCAGAGATGTGGTTTTACAGAAGAATGCTTAGAATACCTTGGACAACCAAAAAGAGCAGCCAAGAAGTTTTGAGAGAGGCGGGAGCCCGAAGAAAACTTATCACAGACATCAGAAGGAGAAAGTCATCATTTTTCAGCCATGTTATGAGAAGAGGGAAAATAGAACATGTTGTGACCACTGGAAAGATCTGTGGAAGGAGGGATAGAGGAAGACGAGAGAAGATGCTTAACAGTCTTGTTGCATAGCATGGAGGTGTATTGGCACACGAACTGATACAATCTGCAGGGGATCGCAGATTATGGAGAGGCATGATCGCCCACGCCAGTCGGCAAGGCACCTGATTATGATGATGACTATCCCACGACAAATTAACTATTTCTTTCCTACTTAAGCAAACACAATTCTCCTCACCACAAAATTACTTCCGTTATTTTTTTAAACCTGTAGCTTCCATATCCATTAATGTTCTCTACTACTGGTAATACATGCTTTCACAACTACATATGTAAAACATGCGTAGCATGAGACCTTCACAAATCATCATTATTAAGTGACCTGCCAAATGGCATTCATAACATATACAGGATGCAATTTTTCGTTATTTGAAGCCCCACCCTGTCTTTTGCCAGGGGCCCTGAATATAGCCTAACGCCTGAAAGGGGTTTCAGGGACCTCTTCATGGGTGTCCTCATCTGCATGGTGGCACTTTGTGTCACAGGGTGTTTATCGCTTGTGTGATGTCCTGGTGGAGTACAACAAGAGAATAAGAGAGTATTTATAACAGAATCACATTTGCACATTGCAGACAGACACAGAACTAAAGAAATTCCAGCAAAATGAAGTGATCAGAAACAATTATAGATGCTGGAGAAGGTAACCCTAAGAAGATGTGACAATAGTAAATCTATAATATCCTTGCGTGGGAACCCACAAAGCATAAGGGATACAGGGAAAGCTATCCAATGATTTCAGCCCTTGAAGTTCTGTATTAGTTCTGTTGATGACATTCCCTCCTGCACTGCCGGAGACCACCCACATCATTTCTCCTTGTTTACCTGTTTCTTCTAATGCTACCATGATGTTCTCTAATGGTGAAAAAGTCACCTATAGAGACTAACTCAATAATGAGACGCTCTTCTGCTTCATTCATTTGCCTGAAATAAATTCGTCTAAATCAGCAATTGTGTCTCTCACATAAATTTCACTGTCGTTTTTAGTTCATTTAGTGGTTCGTAGAGTTTACATTCAACTGTTGTTCTTTCTCGTCAAAAGTTTTGCCTTTATGTGTCATACCCGATGCAGTCCAGGAGTACATGTTCTGCTGTTTGGGGCAACTTTCCACAGGTGCACATGCCTGATACACCCATCTTGAATTCTGAGCACATGTGGTTGCATAATCGCCTGTGCCTGTTCTGAGGGGCAGGATGATGACTTGTTCTGGTCTGTCCATAATAGAGTAGTCGTCAAGGGCTGGTGGTTTCCTGATCGATATAATGAACTTTTTCTTTTGGTGGTATACAACTGGTACGTCCGGCTGCTCTTTGTCGCATCTTCCACTGCCAATTGATCAGCAGCTCTCCCATTAACAGGCACTCCACAATAGGACAGACGGAATCTTATGCATTGCGCCTTTACGCTGACAGCTGAGTTGTGTCAGCAGTGTTTGTAATGTTGTGTTTCAAGTATGAGATGCTCTTAAACACAAGTGACTGAGGACATGCAGTACTTCTGTGTGTAATACATACAAACAGGCACTGAGAAAAGGATCCTAGGAAAACTAAATAATGAAAAACTACACAAATCTCAAAACTAAACATAAAAAAATTACTGTTGCCAAATTCACTGTAATCTAAATATTTTGAAAGAGTTTATCACATAAACACAAACTATTGCAAACACTAGAGAAAGACAGCCATAATTATTTGATATGAGAAAAATGAAAACTGCAACATGTAACAATTTAAAAGATTTCTAGACAGAGTGATAGAGACAAGGAACCTGAAAACAATAACAGCCTTTTGCCAAGGTAGAGAACGCTGCCCCTGTTTAAAACTATACATGCTGCTGGAAGTCAAAACATACAGAGAAGTATAATCAACTATTCTGCGAGGCACACAATCATAATGATGTTTTAAACAGCTTACAACCAAACGATCATAATGATGTTTTGAACAACTTACAACCAAACGATCATAATGATGTTTTAGAACAACTTACAACCAAACAATCATAATGATGTTTTGAACAGCTTACAAATAGGTTTGTCCTATTTAGCAGTTTGTCCCCTCTGGCTTCTACCTTGTTTCACCACAACATCCTGGGATTTACAAATCTCAACCCACCACACAGACCAACAAGGCAGATCCCATATACCTGGTTCAACCTGCAAAGAGGTTATAACTACGGCACCCATAAAGATTCCGCCAGCCAGGTGTCACCGGCAGTCCTTTGCAGGTAAGGAACGTGTCTAATCACAGCATGTTTATGCCGACTTCAATAATTTCTTCGATAATGAATCCTTGTAAAAACTAAACACATTGTCACAAGCTTGTTTTGTTAGATACAAACACTTCTTGTACTCATCTTGACTGAACTGCCCAGACGTGATAACCGTCACAATATTTTTATCAACACTGTCAAACACAAATGTCAACACGGCTCGAGCCTCATCTTCAACTCTGCTTACAGGGTCCAGAATAATTTCCCCCTTGTCTGTTACTGCCGCTGACACAGCTGCAACCATGAAATTCATGCTGACTGCAGCATCCAGCAAGGCCATACATGCAGCATTCACACAACACGCAAGATTTGCACCCAAAGACTCAGTTTCCTGAATCACAATTGATATTAACGATCGTGGATGGTTTAAAGCCATAATTGCTGCCTCCAAGGTATTTTTTATAATCCGTTCCAGCTTTCGATCTACAGGTCGAGGCAGGCCAACTTTCGGCTTGTAAATAACTTCAACAGTAGCTCTGTCGATAAGTTCTTTGCTGATTTTAACATCTGCTGGGCCATACACAGCAGCAAGGGCTGTCGTGTCACCCTGTGTGAAAACTGCTGATCCATCCGGTTGTGTCAAAGGTCCCAGTTCAGATGTGATACAACGAAGTGACTGAACAGATTCTTCTTTCTGCTGTGCCTCTAAATCTGATAAAACAAGGTATTAGTTCATAAAAGAGATAAAAACACAAAATACGGGGCTCATAGCCAATTTCACCAACTTGTTTCAAGGAGTTTTTCTAGGTATTTTTGCCATGTTCAAGGGTGTGCCATGTATATGTCATTCATGTGCACATATGTGGATTTACATGCATGGATATAGTGCTTCTCATCTATACTTGGTGTCAGAGGGAGGCAAACTGAAAGAAAGATTTTTAACATTAGCAAAACCGATTACTTGGTAGTTGCCGGAATTCCGCAATTCGGCGGTGGCGGAAGTCGCCAGAAGTGAGCAATTAAAGACAACAGAAGTGCGCAATTAACACGTGACTGAGGCCTTGTTATGGTATATTTTCCGCCTTGATAATTTAGGACCGTTATTCAGAGGATAGCCAAAGCTTCAACAGGTGAGCAAAATCACTTTCTCAAAATATCAAATTACAGAGTATGGGGGCACAGATGATGAAGAAAATGACAGGGGAGGAATAGACAGAGGGTGGAAGAGAAGGAAAGACAGACAGAGAAGGTGGTACAGAGGGGTAAACAGACAGAGAGGAACACAGAGGGGAAAGTGGGGCAAACAAATATAGAAAAGTACAAAGAGCAGGAAAGGAGTGAGGCAAGCAGACAGAGACCCAGAGAGGGAGGCGGAGAAGGAAGCAATGACATAGAGATACAGAGAAGGAGTGAGGGACAGACAGCCAAATAGTGAGAGTGAGGGAGGGGGAGACAAAAATTGAGAGATACAGAGTGAGGAAGAGATGGGCAAACAAACAGTGAGGTGCTGAGAGTAAGAAATGGGGAAAAGATACACAAAGACAGAGGGAGTGAATGAGACAAACAGATATAGAGAGGGATTCAGAGAAGTGGATGCAGAGGAATAGAAGGGAGATATAAACAGACACAGAGAGGAGGGGGAAGAGAGAGGCAGATACAGAGCGGTACTGTCAAACACAACTGAGGCAAACACATTACATTGTTGTAAGTATGTATAGTAAACAATGAGTGCCTTAAGATAGAAAGCAAAATTATTGCTAGAAATTTCTCGTGTGGGTCCGGGAGGGGGGGGGGTGAATAGAGAGACTCATTGCTCTCCTAATCTGACAGTATCCTTTTTTTTTAGTCAGAGTGCAAATGCATGAGAGGAGAGGAATCAACAGTCTGCATACGAAAAAGTCAGGTCCTGTAAAATGGATGTGCACTTAAACCTTGTGAAGCTGAACAAGATCAAAGAAGCCCAGAAGTGGATAAATAAACAAGCAGAACTTTTCTGCTGGAGTTTACACAGCCGATGAATATGAAGATGCTGGGAATATATATATATATATATATATATAGAGGCTATCCTCCGAACTTCGGGCACTAAAGATGGCGGCCGCAAAATATTCTTTCGAGCCACAGTCACCTGACTTAATTTGCGGTTCTCCGGCGACTACCACCAAGGCCACGAGTCCCCCACGCCGCGTGGACTGGGTCTAAACTAGATGGCTAAGACTCATGAGCAAAGCTTCAGGAGATGCGGAAGCTGCTGCTCGTGGGTACTAGCCACCTAGTTCAGCCCCAATCCACGCGCGCGGTGGTCGCCGGAAAACCGCAAATTAAGTCGCTGGAAGTGCGGAATTGACACGTGACTGTGGCTCGAAAGGATATTTTGCGGCCGCCATCTTTAGTGCCTGAAGTTCGGAGTATAGCCCCTATATATATAAATATATATATATATATATATATATATATATATATATATATATATATATATATATATATACATATATATATATATATATATATCACACACACACACACATATATATATATATATATATATATATATATATATATATATATATATATAATTATATATCAGCAACGTGAGGGCGTATCTGGGACTTTGGCATACTTTTATTTAAACGAATCAAAATTATATTTATTATTTATTTATCAAAATTTAAAAATAAGAAACAATCATTAAAATTCAATCTGAACTGAATGAGCGGAAATTGGAATCCAGAAATTGGTGCATATTGTCTTCTGCTGCCTCATAAATAAGGCTCATTCTCACAAATAATATTAGCTGTTAATAAATTTTTTAAACCATCAAAACAACATTTGCCTGACGGTATGGTATTGTTTAGAATAATTTAAACAAACCAGTGCCATACCTTCTTTCTTGACAACGGTAAAGGCAGCCATGCTTTCGTTATAGTACTTATAGAATTACTCTAGTTGATTTCTCCGGGACTGCCCGATTACTTTTGCCTGGCGATCAGTGTTGCCACTTTTCTAAATGTGCGTAGACAACATCTAGAAAAAACATCCAAATGAAAAAAAAGTCAAAAATTACATAGCAATTGATATGACTTATCCTATAGAATCATACCGTGAGCAAAAAGCAACAGCAAGATATGACAACATCTGCTCACCCCGGATAGAGATCAAGAGAGGAGTAAGACAAGGATGTGTGCTGTCGCCTAGCCTTTTCAACTTATGTACAGAAACTATTTTTTAAGAAATTGTAGAATTACCAGGACTGCACATCAATGGTAGAATAATAAACAATCTGAGACATGCTGACGACACAGTGTTGCTAGCAGAGAGTGAGCATGAGCTGCAAGACCTAGTGGAGCAAGTAAACAGAAGAAGTGCAGAATTTGGATTAGATATAAATTTTAAAAAGACAAAAACCCTGATATTAAGCAAAGAAAAAAAAATCAGCTAACAATGAATATCACAGAGAACGGGGTGAAATTGGAACAAGTTAAAAATTTCTTATATCTTGGACAAGTAATAACATGTGACGGCAGAAGTGAAACAGAAGTCAAGAAAAGAATAGGGATGGCCAAAAACATTTTCAACAACATGCAAAAGTTACTGACATCAAGAGAAATAAGCAATACATTACAAATGAGAATTGTCAAATGTTATGTATTCTCAACCTTACTGTATGGCACAGAGGCACGGACAATGAACAAACAACTGGAAAATCGTATCAATTCTTTGGAGATGTGGATATACAGAAGATTAGGTCGTATTTCATGGAAACAAAAGCTTTCAAACACAGAGGTACTGAGGAAATTGGGAATGAAAAGAGAGTTGCTAGGTGAAATAAAAAAGAGACATGTGAAATATTTTGGCCACATTAAAAGACATAACAGTATTGTAAAGATCATCCTAGAGGGAAAGGTTCAAGGTAGGCGAGCAAAAGGCAGACAGCGTTATAAGTGGAAGGATAACGTCAAGAGATGGACGAACAGCAGTATGAGTGAGTGTTCATCAAGGGCAAGAGATAGGGCTTGTTGGAGATCCATTGCAGCCAACCTTTATTGTGGAGACGGCACCTGATTGATTGATTGATAGAATCATGTCCTCATCGTTACTTGAGTCTGCCTTACAAGATCCATAGGATAAACTTAGCTTGGATGAAGTTAAAGCTTCAGATCCAAAATGACTCTGGTATGTTTCAGCTGTTCTAATTTCTTTAAATACCCAATCAGAGAATAAGTGGAACAGCCTTTTTCTACTCTATCAAGCAGAATTTTATTGTCAAAATAGCATTTAAGAGGTCAAATTTCACACTGTTTCTTAGGTTAGATTTGAAAAATTCACTCCAAATGAAAAACATATAGAGAAACATCTACCATCTAAAACAACAAAATACCATCTAAATATAAAAGAAAACATCTGAATCTGGATGTAAAACATCTGAAGTGGCAACACTACTGGCGATGTTACAAAAGTATGCAGCCATATATTTTTTTTTTAATAAACATTACTTACATCATTTTTATTTGCCTTACTTAAATTATTTCTGTAAAGTGGTGGCAAAATTAAATTAGCAGTTATGAGTTTCACCATAAGATGTTAATTAAAATTATTTTGAAAATGTATTTACTCTACAATAACAATCAATTTGGAGATATATTTTTAGCAACGAAAGAAATAACATGTGCAAAGTATTGATAATTTGAACTCGGTAGTAAACAAGATTTGCTGAACAAACACACGTTGGTCTACTGGAGTATAGGTTAGACTTAACATTGTTTGAAGTTACATATTGTATATTGTAATAATCTTCACAGAGTTTCACCCCTTTTTATTACCACATCCTCAAATTCCCCTTTCTTGTTGATGTGGATGTTTGGAAGGGCCGAATGTAAGACGGGCCTGCGTGCCTAGTTTGTTTTGTAACTCTTTGAAAAAAAAGTTGGGTCTCCTCCAAGTTAGCTCTCCTCCGAACTTCAACCCGATATTATGGCGGCCATGAAATATCCTCACGGGGCTCAGTTCTATTTAAACTATGCCGGCTCTGTATAACGAAACAAATGCTCTAACAGGGTCTCAGCGATATGTTACTTGCGGACCTGTTTCTGTGACTATGCCTCACCACCGACCGTATCCCCGGATAAGGGCTAAACTAGATGGCTGGGACTCACGAGCAGCAGCTACCGCATCTCCTACAACTTCCTCCAATTAATTTGTTCATGAGTCCCAGGCACCTAGTTTAGCCCCCCATCTACGCTACGCTCGTCTGTGAGTTTAATCGCGTTTTGGGCATGCTATTATCGTCTGCTACTATCGTCTGCAGAAACGCTCGAAATTGTCAACAGTCACTATTATTGTCTGCTACTATCGTCTGCAATGTTGCGTCTCTTAAAATTGTCAAGTAATCCTAGTTTTGCCGCAATTTGTTCCTTGGCAGAAAGTCCGCATTTTACAAATGCCTGAGCCCCATAAGGATATTTTATGGCCGCCATAATATCGGGTTGAAGTTCGGAGGAGAGCTCTCTTTTATCGTTGCCTGGTAAAAACCTAATTTAACACCCCCCCCCCCCCCCCCCCCCCCCCCCCCCCCCCCCCCCCCCCCCCCCCCCAATCACTTTTGGAGAGACTTGGCTAACAGTACTAACACAGTAATTAATAAAATAAAATTCCAAGATGCAGAACAAGCAAGTCCCTTGCTACGACTCCATCAGGATAAGTTGAGAGAGCTTGCTCTTGATGCCACTGCAGTGCCACGTGTAATCTTAGATGTTATTATTCTGCCTCTGCCATCATCACCAAGTGCCTTGTCAACAGATATTGCTAATTTTGCTTCTCTACAAATTGTGATTGCCAGCAGTATGTATCAGTTCATATGCTGGTACCCTTCCATGCATTGCTAACATGACAAAAGGCTTTACAAAATCCTCTCTCTATTCACAAATCTTTCAGATTGTCACAGCATGTTCTAGTTGGGTTTTTTTTCACCCTCATAATCATTATAGCATTGTTGTCAGAATAATGACTTCTGTCTGATTTTTGAGATATGTTGTCTTTGTTTCTTACACACACACTCTCTCTCTCTCCCAAACATAGATTGGCAATATTGACACCCCCTCCCCCCCCCCCCCCCCCAAGGAATTTTTAGCAGTCGTCCTGAAAAAATAGCAGTATGTGACAGTTCCAGTCAGCACAAAGAAACATATTAACATAAGAACTGGTCACTCCACTTTATATGTCTTGGTCTAGTAGGTGTGAAGTTCTAACACTTCATACTCCCAAGAGTGTCTGTTTTGGACTTCCTTAACCTGTAACTCTTTGAGTCCCAGGGGGTTTAGCATCAGAGGCCCAAGAGGCAGTCAAGAGAGACCTATAATCGGCGCCTCTTGCGTTGATTGGGCCTCTAGGTAGGAACCTATGACTGTATGGTGCACTCCTTGGGACTCAAAGAGTTAACACATGTGCGGTGTATTTTATGTAATATATATCTTTTGGCTTTTTTGAAAGATAAAAGGACACATGGTTTTTACTATTTATTTATTCTTTGGTCCACGTAGGCATTTGCTGTGAAGACATCTGAGATTGAAAGAATTGAAACTCACAAGGAACAACACATTCAGTTAAATTGATGCCTCACTGGCCAGGTGCAAGAAACAAACATGAGCCAAACATCTGCAACTGAGGCTAGTCAGCTTGTTGAGTATCTGACTGAGATAGAATGTGTTGCTGAAGATATTCTTACCAGTCGCCGGGAGATAATTGACCTTGACAGGCAGAGAAATAAAACAAGAGAGGCCATAAGGTAAATTGGGAAATAAAATTTCCTGTTTTTGAGTTGGAGTGTGATAAACGGGAACATTTGGGGGCTTTAACAAAAATTAATATCAGGATTTCAGGTTGACAGCCTTAAATAGATACCAGGAAATGCTCTTGGATATAAAAGAGACTGGCATGATATTACCACAGCATGATTTTTCAACAAAATTTTGTATAGAGCAAAAGGTGCCGGTACTCACCACAAACTGTCTTTTACAGTATCACTGTACAATCTAGTATCCAAGAAAGGTGGCTGGATACCCACACCAGATTTTCTCCCCAAGACCCACTTCATCGCCTCTCTAGAGAGGGACAGTGTATTATATTCAGACTAAGGACTGGGCACAACAGATTTTGTCAACATATGTTCAAATCTTTTGGTGTAGGAAATACGGAGATGTGTCCCTGCAGCATGGCGCCCGAAAATGCTGAGCATGTGCTCCAACACTGTCAACTGTATGCTGACAACAGAAACGCAATCTGGCCTGTTCCAACCACACTGAAGACAAAACTGTATGGTACACGAGAGGATATAGATTGCACGATAGCTTTCATAAAGGCTACGGGCCTCCTGATATAAGTTTCCTGACAGAAGGATCGAAGAAGAAGAAGAAGACTGAAAAAATAATCCCTAAAAAGGTGTCAGTACTGCCTAAAGCCAGAAAAAACCCTGATCCTACATAATGCATTCATGGGGGTAGGGGTAGTGCGAAACCCACTTAGCACCCTTAGAATTAAGTGTGACGAATATATTATTGCCCAAATGGTTATTCAAGTGCCCATTGGTTTGTAAACTTATGGACTGAATAATTCCTAATACATTGAAATGGGACCTTCACATTTTACTTGAAGTGACAGTTCCAAACTTAAGCAGAAACAATCTTGGTTTGTGAAACAGATGCTAATCAGAAACATCTTTGATCTGTAAGGTGTTGTTCCATTGTTCCTTCAGTTCTTCTCCATATGTTTATCTTGCTAACAACTCATACATTTGCCTTTAGAGCATTACAGCAAGTAAAGGAAGATGAGAAAACATGGATGTGTGCTGGGAGAATGTTCCTCAAAATGGACAAGGAGAAAGCTGTAACCATATTGAACAAAGGTATGTTGTGAATTGTTGGGAGAGGGGGGGGGGGGGGTGTGGTGTTGGGATGTCACTGCTGGCCTTTGTGGTGAGGTGATAATGCTGTTTGCTTCATGCTGTGAAGGTTATAAGTTTAGTGTTTCAGGTTGATTCCTTTGGTTCTTAAAAACAGATACAGTGGTACCTCGGTTTACGTCAGAAACCCATTCCTAATCCTTGGGCATATGCCAGACAGGATGTATACCATACAAATTTTCCTGTATGAAATAAAGGAAGAATGAATAATACATTCCCTTGAGATGAAATCCTACTGTTATTGGCATATTTACATTGATGGGATTGTGTAAAAAAAAAATGTATAGGCTGCTTAATACTAAAAGACATAAATACAAAAGCAGTTAGATGAAATAAATGAAAATTTAACCTTACCTCAATTTGCTGAGAAGAGTCCAGTGCCTACTAGGATGATGCTGAGAAGGGAGTGTCATGAGAGGATGTTGTCACGAGTCTTAATTAGGGTCTCCCCTAGTAATAAAAGACACTCTAAAGTGATATATTGTTGTTATGGTGGCTCGTATTGGTCTAAGTGGTACTCCACATCTCCAGCAACCACTCGACACCACTTCAGGGATGAGGCAACTCAAGTATTTGGCTCCACAGAATTTCCATAGATATTCCAGGGCACGACTTGGCAAGACTTCCTCACCACTTAATAACCCCCAGACTGGATAGGATCACTATCACAGTCGAAATAAAAACACAGAATCAACAGAAATCTGATAATACAACAATGCCCACAGAGACTTAACCTAAGTGAACAGTGAAATACCAGACACCAAAAACTGTAAGTTCAGAATAATAGTGCATGATGTAATAAGTTCCAACAAAATGTAAAAAATCTCTGTACACTGATATAGAAGAAAGAACAAAAGAATAGTATGACACAGGTAATGTCTGAGTCACGAATGACTACAGGCCAGACATAAATTCACTGATTGTTTTCCATCACTGCACTGGTGATGTAATAAGAAAATAGTAAGCTCATGGCATGAATTGACCAGTTGGCAGTACTTTGGGTCTTATGTACTTATCATCAGTTGTAGAGAATAGTTGAACAGCTCCTCTGCTCAGTCCCTTGTTGATTCTTCAGACTCAGGCTTGTGTTAGAAGTAGAACGGAGCACTTATGGGTTACACTCGTGTGCCATGATGTTGATCCCTCAACTAAACAATAAACAGGGCATTGGGTCTATTCTTGGTTCTCCAAAATAGAGCAGCCCCAAAGCCCACACAGTGAGCTGTGTGATAATGAATCCTGAAACATTAACTGATAAATTAGGAAATACATGAAGGCAGCAAAAATTGGTTTTCTAAGACAAATGTTGCTATTGAAAATAGAAGAATATACAGGACTGTAAGAAATAGACAGTGTACTTTGGTCATGTCATGTGAAGAGAGGCATTAGGGAACATGGAATCAACTGGAAATAGCAGTGGTAGAAGATGCAGAGGCAGTTGAATAAGTATATGCTGAACAGTCTGTGGCAGTGGGATGGATGAGTATCATCATTAGAATTGATCCAGAACACTGAGGATCAAGATCTCTGGAGAGACTTGAATCCCTATGACATTTCTATGGTACTAAGCCAAAATCGCCTTTGGACAGTTTTGGGAAATTTTCACCCAAATGTCAGGACTGTTATTTGTCAGTTTGAAATATGCCAAAGACACACAAGAAAAAGATCACGACGTGCGAAATGAGATGCTTACGTAAGGCTGCCAATGTCACAAGGAGAGACAGAGTTCGAAACGAGAACATTAGATCAATTGTAGGAACCACACCATGCCTGCAATACATAAAGAAGCAACAAATCGAGTGGTTTGGCCACTTGATGCGAATGCAAACCGACCAACTGCCTCTACGAGCATACAACGAACAACACTACTGCCCTAGAGCAAGAGGCAGACCGAGAGTACGATGGATAGACAATATATCAGAGATCCTGAGGCAACACGGACTAACAACAACACATGCAACACACCTGGCCCAGGATAGAAAACTGCGACTCCCCACTACGCTGTGAGGCAATTGTGGACAAGACAAGACACAAGTAAATTCCTACTCCAGATAAGTCAGAATGAAGGATTACTTTTCCCACAACTACACAGTTTTCATCTGTTCTCAATATTCATCTGTGATTTTCTTGAAACAAGGATTTAATTTAGTTCTTTGATGGCTTTGACATCGTACCAATGGTATGACAAGCTGTAATTTGGTGATGTCGCTAATTGTAGTCTTTTTGGCTGCTTTGTTAATTCATCAGCTTAAGAATATCCTTCTCCTTTAGCCTTGTGTCATCCATTTGTGTTTCCTAGCTTGTTATTTGTTATCCGTATTGAGATCCTAACACATTATTCTGACCCAACCAAGATCCATCCTTTCATACAGCAGCTGTCACAGTATCTCCATGCTCCACATACCCAGTAAGAGTTGACTTGCATATATTCTTTCTTTGCCCCATAACCTGTTTCTGCATGCTTTTCCTTGTTTAATACCTATTTCTAATAGGCAGTTCATTGTCTCTGATTCTCAATGCCTGTGGAAGACAACACAATCAGTATTAAGTCTTCTTCTTTTTTATGTCCTCTTTTATGTCCTCAGGTGTCGAGTGAGATATAAGGTTGTGCTTCATGCTTTTCTGGCAGCTTCGCCAAAGACACATCGTAGTCCTGTAGAGTTTCTATGATGTTATCCTATCTTGTTCTTGGTCTGTCTCTTGCTCTACATCCCTCTCCTCTTTTGGTATATGCCTTGAATAGTATAGCATCAGAAAACATTCTGAGCAAACCATTTGATTTGATGTCTTTAGTCTGCCTTGTCTATATTTCTTCCTCCACTAGTTACTGCAAACACGGCCAGTCTTTTGGCTTTGGTATGTCTTCTCAGTTGTTACTGTATTATGGGCCTGTTGGGATGCAGCAAAATAGGCCAGGCAATAAGTTATGCAGTCTGTTGTTTGTGTCGTCTTTGTTCACACCTAAATATTTTTCCTTGTTTTACTACATCTAACATATAGCATTTCTTTTCTGACAGACTATGATGAACTGGATAAAGAAATTGGCTTAGCTAGGGCAAATTTAAGGCCTAAAGTAAACAAATTACGTGACCTGGAGAAGAAGGATGAGCTGAAAGGATTTGACCTTTGTCCCCTTACCCCAGAAGAAAGGAAATCAGTTGAAAATCTTTTATGATCATATCCTATTGTGGCCTTAAAGTCACAAGTTATGTTTGTTCATTACGATAGTTGTCAAAATGAATCAGCATATTTATTAACTGAAAACACATTTATTATATATATATATATATATATATATATATATATATATATATATATATATATATATATATATATATATATATATATATATTATATATATATATATATATATATATATATAAAAGAGAGAGAGAGAGAAAAGTGAATGACATAAAGAAAGAGAAAGTAAATGACATCTAGAGAGAGCAAATGATATAATAAGATACAAAATATACCTCATGGTGTTGTCTTCCCAAAGGAATTGTTAAAATGGATTTGTATGTGTTTAGGTATTGATTGATTACATTAATATTATGTGATTTTAGTTCATTGAACTTTGAGTCATACCCATAGAGGCTTAGTCATCCTTAGCTATAGTAAAGAGAATTGGTTCTTTATTAATATCCTACCCTAGATGATGTCACAGGACAGTCCAACATTTTAGAGGGTGGTAAGACTGGGTTCCCCAGCTTTCTGATGCTTTTAACGACCCCAAAACATCTAGAACTGGCCATAACCCCAACCCACCTACGTCCCACAAAAGAGTGCAGCCCAAGTCCCACGACTGCATGCAGCCTAGGTCCCACGACTGCATGCAGCCTATCTACCACCCCCTGAAATATTAGACTGTCCCGTGACCTATGGATTTCCCCTGTTTAGGGTAGGATATTAATAAAGCCCCAAAAGAATGTAAGCTGAAAATTTCCATTGTACAACAAAGTGTGTTTGACAGTTTAATGTGGTTTCTTAGTATGTGCACTTGAGAAAATTGTCATCCATCGTTCTGCTATGCTGTTTAAAGCAGTTAGTTCCTCCATCCAATTCTATCCTATACAATTCTTTTACCAGGAAGGTAAAAGTCTGCAGAAGTTGAATGTGTGGACAAAAAGGCGCAAATTTTGCAGCCATCCTATAAACAGGCACAACGCAATTACATCTTTGGATGAACGCAGAAGAAGAAGAAGACAATACTTTTGATAAGATCTATGGAATCGGGTCTGGCACCTTTGGCAAATCCCACAAATATTCATCCTAGGGTTTTGTGTATCCTTGCTTCCTCAAACTTTGTTTGTCTCCAGTGGCAGTATTGTGGTTCTTGGTTGAGAAGATGAAATTAATTACGACTTTGTAAGTTTAATTTAGGTAATTTAATTGTTTGGCTTGTTATTTCTTTTGTTCTTGCATGTTGATATCTTTTTTTTAACCTTAATCGAAATTTATGTCAGTGTCATTGTATTTGAAACTTGTTTCATGCCATTAAATCTGTCTTTTTCATTCTGAGTCATGTGTGTCATTCTAAATGCAAACCTGTTTCTTCTTCCACTTCTGCACTTTAGTCTTGTTCCAGAACTCAACATTTGCATTTACTGCCATTTTACGAATATGGTTTATTTGTAAACAGACTTGATTCTTCGCCTCTCAGACAGATGCAGTCCAGATTGCCTGTAGTGGATCTCTAACCCGCTCTGTCTCTTGCCTTGGTTGTACACTCTTTCAGACTGTGTTCTAACATCTTCTAATGTTGTCCTCCCACTTGTAACATCTACTACTTGCTCTCTTGGCCTCGACTATTCCCTCCAGTATGGTTTTTACAGCCAAAGTATTTCAGTTTATATTATGTATCCTGAATTCTTTGATTTGGTGCAGAAACTTGGACAGTAACAAGTAGTTAGTTTAAGAAAGCTTGCTCACTTGTAAGAAAGGTCGGTTCACTCTTATAATAGTGCTGGCTCTCTAGGGAACAGACATAACTTTCTTCAGTTAATAACGCCGAAGAGCTATCAATTTCCAAATATACATTCTATCATTTTATTTTTCCTGATTCTCACATTTCACAGTTATTCATCAACATCACAACTCGTTCTCACAATACACCCGCATTGATCTTCCACACGACGTTATGACATTTCAATTACTACATCACAACCATCACAACTGTCTTCTTCAAGCTCTGGTTCCCATCTGACTACTGGTCAACCTCGGTTTTGCTTAGTTCATATCTCCAGCTGCGACTCTCCAGTGTTTTCACCACTTGCACGGGTAGCTTGGGCCACCACGCAAAGCACCTCAACACAGTTAGCAAATATAATTAAGTGCCTGGAGATGTGGGTATACAGAATAGGTTGTAATTAATGAGAACCAAAACAAATACTGAGGTTCTTATAAAACTTAATTCTAAGAGAACTGTTTAAAGACAAGCTAAATAATTTGGCTTCATGGAAAGAAATAATACTCTTATTAAAAACATCATCATCATATAGCAGGTCCTTTGCAGAACATTACTTTCATTGTGGTCTGCTTGAAAGAAACTTATCTCTTGCCAGCTCTTCTGTCTCATCATGCACTTTCCTGTCCAAGGTGTCACTTAAATTCTGTTCTCATCTTTTTGTTGGCAGCCCCTGCCCCTCTTTCCTGCTACCGTGCCTTCAGCTGTTATTCTTTCCAATCCACCATGTCACTTGATGTGGCTAAAATATTTCAGTTTCTGAGACAAGATGCTGTTTATTAGCCATCTTCCTTAATGTTCAGATCTTTTTAAATGTGAATACTTCTTTTCTTCTTGCTCTGTGCTGTTCACAGATTTTCTTATTTAATGACTGAGAGATGGTCCACGACTCACATCTCTATTATCTACAGGGAAGATGCATGTTCTCAACACTTGTACTGCTTCCCTTGCTGGTTCTTAACCATAGACTTTTAATACTTATAAAAACTACACTGGAGGGAAATGCTGAAGACAAGAGATACATGGTGATATACATGGGTGGACAACATCAAGAGATGCAACAAACAGCTGTCACAGAGTGTACAAGGAGGGCAATAGACAGATTATGGAGATCTGTTGTAACCAACCTTCACTGTGAAGATGATGCCTGGTTGATTGATTGATTTATCTGTCCATTCTTCTTCTGCATTTGTCCATAAATGGATGGTTAGCACATTGATTTGTGATTTACAGCTAGGCTAGAATATCTATGCTTTTCTTGCCAACACATCTGATTTAAGCCGTGGAAGTGAGAATAGCGATCCGCTGCACACATGCTTATCTGTATGTTAGCTGTGACATACATCATCCACTGCACAGTGAGATTTGCAGAAAGAAGGGTTGCATTTAAAATGAGGAAAGTTGTGGATGGGTCAAACTGAGAAAATTATTTAACAGGTTTGTTCAGTTGAGGACATGGAACAAGGTGAAGAATGGGTACGAGTGCCAGGAGAATATTGTACATCTTTTTTCAGTCTGCATAAAAGAATCTGCTGCCTGTGATTTTGGAGCAGAAAGACAGACCCCTGAGCACATACTACAGTAGTGCCCTAACCTCTCCCAGCAAAGACTGTGGATCAGGCCCAAGGGAGCCACATTGCAAGAGAAGCTATGGGGGACCGGTGGCGACTTTAAACACACAATCCTATTTGTGACCCAGACGGGACTCAATGTTTAGCATGACTGATCTGCATAAAACTAGATAGAGAGTGCAAACAACAAAACCCTTTGGTGGCGAAGCCTAAATGCTTAAGAATTCTGGTTTTAGAGTTGCATTTATTCCAAGTCACCTAACTTTTGCAGTTCACTGTACAGTCTCCGCATCTGATTTATCAGTCTCTCTTTCCTTCTCTGTTATTTATGTCTAACAAAGACTGTATTTGTGGTTTTCCTACAACGGTACGAGCTTCGTAGGATGGAGCAGACTGGGGCCTCATCACTTTTTTTTTTAAAAGCACTAATATAAAGACATATTCTATGTTGTGTGTTCTAGAGTCCGCCAGCCAGACTACCACTTTATCTGCGCAGACAATGATCGCAAAATTAACCATAAAAGACACGTACTCTTTCTATTTTTTTTTTTACTATTTAGCCAAACTAAGCCACAGCACCGTGTGGCCGGGTACAGCTAGATCTGTAAAACGGATGTGCATTAAAAAAAAACTCATAAAGGTCATGGAAAATCATAGACCACATGCACAAATTCGTGTTGATCTGTAGAAGAGTTTTCAAAGAATGTGTCAAAGTGAGGCTGCATGAGTTTTGAAACGCACTATAAATTACTTTCTCCATTGAAAAGCTAATGAACAGTTCACATTTCTAGCTAACATCCGCGTGATCTTTCTTGGACATCTGTCCTCATGCACTTATTAAGAACAAAGGATGTAGCCTGAGGGGGCCACATCTCCTTTACAAATTGAGTTGAGTCAAAAACTGACATCACAGCACTCGGGGCACTCCCATGCTTGCTCCGTCCTCATCTTCAGCAGCCAGAGACACTTTAGAGGTGCAGGCACCAGTTAATAAATGTCTGTAATTTATTAGTAATTGCCTTAGTTGTTCTCCATGTTTCCGCCCCATACAAAAGTACTGATTTGACATTAGAATTAAAAAATTTTATTTTAGTATTTCTTTTGACCTCCACAAATTCCCTAGTGCTATGAAAGCTCCTCTTGCCTTTTGTATTCTTATTTAAATATCTCTATCAGATCCTCCATCTTTATCTACATTACTGCCCAAATAGGTGTACGACTCCAAGTGTTCGAGTGGGGTGCCAATAAGAGAAACCACATTACTTTTTGCCTGGTTTATTCTCATTATCTTTGTCTTTTCTTTATGGATTTTCAGATCAAACTGTTGTGATCTCGCATCAAGTATATTTAATTTATCTTGCATCTGATTCCGTGAATGGGGCAGAAGAGAAATATCATCAGCGAAGTCCAGATCATCAAGCTGTTTTGTAGGGGTCCAATGAATTCCATTCTTGGTATTAGCAGTTCATAATCCAGTCTATAGCCAGTAAAAATAGAAGAGTCGAAAAAAGACATCCCTGTCGCACACTTGTTTTTTTTTTTTTTTTATGTATCTGTTAGCTTTCTCTAATGAAGAACACATTTCATGTCTTTATATAATGTCTTTACTAAGTTAACGATGCCCCTAATCTACCTTAA